TGGCTTGTTTCACTTTCGGGGCGAACTGCCGCTGTGAGGGCGGCTAGTTGCAAATGTGGACTGACAATTGTTAGGCGCCGCCGCATGCAACTCAATTTATTTTGGTTTCAAGGAACAGAGTTTATGCGAGGAACTCAAGTCTAACGAGTGACTCATGTTTCAGGCATCTATTGTAAATTTCACCAAGAAATGTAATAGCATTTCATACAAAGCAAACAATACTTCTGTGCTAAGCTTGCTAATTAACTAAATAAATATTAGTTTTTCTCGGCCAATCAAATGCCAGTGCAAGTGTTAAAACTAACAGTATAAATTAACAAACAAAATTTACATACGTCTTTCGGAAAACTTTCTCAAAAAATTAGCTGGAGGGAAAAAGATGTTACACAAGATGGGGATAAAATTACGCACATTACGCATACGCACGTATGCATATTACGCATACGCAACGTTGGAGTGCAGAAAAGCGGAAAATTGATACTATGGCAACGTCTGCTTGTGGGCGCATCAGCAGGAAATCATAAAATTACAATTTTCATTGGACGGAACAAGTATATCTATCATTATGCCTATATAACTATACAACTATACAATTACCTGTTCCGTGGGCAGAGTGTGAATGGCTTAGAGGTTGGAACCTGTCTCTCTCTCTGTAGCAATTATGTAATTTTGCAGTGAGATCAAACTACCATAAATTACAAATCATATTTTCTATAATCTTTCTATTTTTTTTACAAATGTCAACACTATTATTGTCTCATTTGCCTAATTAAGTAGAAGTGAAAAGGCACACGAGTGTGTATTCCTGTATGGGAATAGCAAGTGCGGGTGCTGCTGATTAGTCCCCGACTTGTTACAATATTCCGCCGACTATATAATTAACCGATTTGCGCATTTGTCTCTCACACGGAAGTCAAAACAAAGAAACCAAGATTACTTTTATTTTTTGTTGCGTGTGTGTGACTAATAACGGCTGCTAAACGGCAGCCAAGATCAGCATCGAATTAACAAATATAAAAAATATTTATACATATATATGTATATTAAAAATGAATTATTTTCCAAGCCACATTCAATCATAAAGAACGAGAATTAAGTACCAAAACCCAGCCCAAGTATAAAATGACGGAAGCCAGCCCCGATTGTGGTTTCTTTCATATGTAGATAGATATATTTATGGTTAAATATATCAATAGACACATAGAGGCGTTGCTGCTCAATTGTTGTGGTAATCAACTTTATTTTTTTTATCATGTGCCCATAATTGAATTGTAGCAACGCAAAAAGAAATAATAATATGATTGTTGAAAAGCTAAGGCAAACATCAAAACCAGATTGAGATACACACACAAATCATGAGGTTAAAGATTAATGTTGAAAGGAAAAGGTAGATAAACAATTATAAAAGAGTCAGAATCAAAGAAAAATAATTTATGGCAAAACAAGAAGGGAGGAAACATTTAATTGAAAAAAAGAGTCCGCAAAGGGAACCACAAGTAATTAATTCCCAAAGGCAGTTCAATGAATCCAAGTAAACTTAAGTCAATTAAATATTAAAGAACTCAAGTAAAGCAAAGCTCATTGCAATTCCTCACTCTTCAGCATTTTTTAAGGTCGAGTATAAAATAAAACTCACAATTTATCGTTGTGCCAACTTTTCTGTTCACACTTGCTGTCCAAGTCCATGTCTTGTGTGTAACGTGAAGCGTGCTGCTTCTGTTTTGGTGTCGCACAAATCAAATTCAAATTAGAACACACGAAAACACGCGAATTCGAGCCAATTATGCAAATTGATTTTTTAACTGTCCATGGTCTGTCTCTGAAATAACAAGAACGATTTGCATATCGGTCAATTGTTGCACGATTTTCGTGGTCTCCGCACGCGTTGCAATTTCACAATAAAAACCATTCACACTTTTGCTGAAATTATTTAACCGAAATATTGTCTCAACATCGAAATATAACACACATTTCTGTTTTAAAATAGTTAACTGTGTTGTGTGTTTTTCCCCAGGCCCACGCATTTGTGTACTATTTTTACACAAATGGCAAATCAATCAAGCTGTGGGGGTTGAACAAAAAAATGTAACATAAAACCAAGATGAGGGATTAACCTACATACAAACACTCGAATTGCTTCAGAAATAAAAACAAACTCAAATTTGATGGCGAATTACGCACCGATGGGATATGTAAATAACTGGAATTGAACCGCAAAAAACTACTCAGACAAAATGACTTTCGTTTTGGACTTGAATTGTTACAGAAATAACCGTTGTAGAGATTTCCTTACTGCGGTTGGGTGACAACCAAACTGTGACAAAAAAATAAAATAAAAAAAATATAATAATAATTGCACTGACCTTCATCGTCGCCATTGTTGTTATGGCGAATAAGGCCCGCTTTAAAAGCCACCAAGTAGTCTTGAACGACTCAAGTTGAAAATTGTATTATTGTGGTTAGTTTTCCCTGAGGCTCCAGATGGAGCAAAATCTTTTAAAAAGACTTATTTTTAAGTGATAAGAATTCAATTTAATTAAATTATATTATAAATTAATAAAAGTATCCAAAACAAACTTTAAACTAGCTTAGAAAGTCGCAAAGTAAAGACTTAGGAAACTATTTTTACTATTTGCCTTTTAAATTTTATATATTCTAAAGAATGACAATTGAATAAATAAAAATAATATCTTAAATTTTAATTATATAGATTCAAATTGACTTAAACACTCAATTTTTCAAACGACCAAAACAAAAGACTTAGGCAACGAACTTGGCAGATTTTTAATTAGTGTTATAAAACTGCTTTAAAAATATCATATGTTTATAGATTTCTCATAAAGAAATAAGAACCTCAAATAACATTTAAATTGAGCAATTGTTTAATAAATTTTATATTTCCTCCACGTAAGCAATCCGAAAACTTAAGCAACCAACTTTGTCGCCTCATTATTTAAATTCCCCTCCCCCAGGCTATAATGCATTCAATTTGTTTCTCTTTTTTTTGTTGTCGAAATCAGCATAACCTTTTGGCCACAATCATTGCAAAAGTATAAATCAAGCGATAGTTGGCATAAATAAATTGGCAATGCTCACCCCCAATGCCCGCACGGCGCCTCTACCATGTCATTAAATTTATACCATCGCTTAATTACACTAAATTACGGCTAATTAAATTTTAATTAACGCAATCAACTAGCGCACACACTGTGATGTGTAAGCAAAGAAAAAAAATAAAAATTAAAACTCAAAACCGGCAAAACGTGTCCAAAATACGAAACCAATTTGTGAATGTGGAGTAAGTCTGCGTGCCGAGGAAATAAAGAGTGCACCACACAATTTTTAGCCACTTTTATTTCTAGCCAAAGTGCTAAAACACTCAGCCACAAGCCAAAGCCAAAGCTAAAACCAAAAACCGAAACCAAAAACTAAAAAACTGGTGCAAGTTCAACGGGGAAAACGGGTTTCCACCGGCTGCTGCTCTTCTCGCATATGAGGAAGTTAATGCCTGAGCAGCTTGGCCAACCGAAGCTGTGGAAAACTTAGTAACAGTTACTATTTAGCGGTCGGCCGAAGCCGCATAAAATATTCAGCAAAAAAATTGCTTTTCTCCCCAACTCCGTGGGCGTCAATCAAAGGGGGGGAGTGTGTATTGCATCCGTTGGTCTGCTTTCAACTTGGTCTCTTCGAATCTCCCGGCTTGTGCTAAATTCATTTATTTTTAATGCTGTCTGTTTTCCGTTTTATTTTTCCCGAGCCGCAAGACAAGGTAGGCATTTTCAGTGTTAATGCCGACCGGCATTATTTGGACAGCTTTAATGGGTGCAACAGTGGGTCAAAGGCATTCTTGGGGATACAATTGGAGTTTAGTTATCTGTGGATTAATGCCATTTATTGCTTAACTATCCTCTAAACAAATTAAGTTTGAAAATATATTAACTACCCCGAGATTTCTAACATAGACATTGCTTCCTCAAAGATGAATATAGTTTAGTATTGCGCATTTTACACACCAACCAATATTCCCAATCATTAATTTGGACTAATAACTCTTCAAGTTTTTAACCTTTAAGCCATAGACCAACCACTGTGGCCCAAAATAAATGAAGTGCTTGCATAACTCTGACAATTACAAATGATGTTTCTGACATATGACGACAAGCTTCAAATAAAACAAAACCAAAAAAAAAAATAGACACGCATTGAAGAAGCAACAGTTTCGGACGACTACCTGAAATAATAGCGAAACAGCAGATTAAATTAAATTAAACTAAAAAAAAAAGAGAAATAAAGGAAAAAAGATAAACAAGTGGACACCGCACATGTGTCGGGGTTCTGAGGCGGAAATAGACTGTGACATCCGCTGACAATCAAAGAATCCAAGACTCCCCAGACTCTTCCAGTCGCCATCTCATATCCGCTGGACGTGGCCGCAAATTTAATTAGAAATCCGCTCGGCTTGGGAGCGACTTCAAAGCCAGTTCAAAGCACTTTTTGCTTCCGCCACGCATCAGCAAAAATATACCAGGCCTAGACATATATACTATATACTATATATATTTTTTCACACTTTGCAACATAATTAACTAACGAACATTTCTTTCAACTCTGCTCTTGTCATTTCAGCACAACACACAGCACACAGAAAAGCATACTGAGAGTCGTCTCAAAAGCCAGCTAAGCGTAGAGGGTATAGGAAAAGTCAGGGAAATTATTATAGGGAGGCGCACACAGTAGCGGACTCTGAATAGCTAGAAAATTATTATTATGATAATAAATTAAAGTTGCCATTAATTTAGCCAAAACGAAACGCGAAGGCAGAGGCGAGCCAGAAGCAGACGTAGACTGGTAGCATAATAACAATAAATAATAATTTGAAATAGGCGAGCAGTTGGAGCAGCTGAAGAAGAAGTCCAGCCTCCTCATCCCGAAAGAGACAGACAATCAGAAAGGAAAGAGACAGAAGGAGAAAACGAAGCAAAGCAGCTCGAGTGCATCGAGCGTGCAAATTAAAAGCGCACACCAGTAGCACCAGCAGCTGCAGATCACCCAACCCAATATGGAAGTGGCCACAACAAACAATCACAGTCAGAGCCATCACCATCATCATCATCATCATCATCATCTGCAGGCGGGAGGAGGAGGAGGAGGAGGAGGTGTAGCCACCACTGGAAGTGGCTCCAGATCCCCCTTTCAGCGCGAGGTGCGTGAATGGCAACGCATCGATCCCAATACCGGAGCCCTCTTCAGCGGACGCCTCGAGGCAGACCGCTGGGTAAATGGACCGCTGAACAGCTACGGCAAGGTGAGTAGAAATCTTCCACATAAAGATGACAGCGTGAGGAATACATATAGAGAAATAAAATACAAGATCCATTCCCAGGTTTTAAAAGAAAAATTAAAATAAATTGAAACAGAAATACAACCATATCTTTATATATTTAAATACGGTAGTCATTCGTGAACTCACGATATTCGAACACATCCCTAAGTTACTGAAGCCCCCAAACCACAAAGCGATTACTTTGGGCTCTGATTGATGGAAGCTGTGGCTCCTCTCCGGTCTAGACCTAATTGCTGGGCTCAGTGTTTGTCCATCGTATTTTAAATGAAATTGAAAGGTTCGCCAGAGCAGAAGTCTGAGACTCTCTAAATGGGAAGGCGTCACTATTTTAGTGGAGGCTGCGGCAATTGTGCCTTGATTACTAGTTTCGGTTACCAAGCTCACTGATTTTAATCAGTTAATAGTTTATTTAGCCCGGGATTAGCTCTACAACAAAAAATCAACAGAAGTTGGGCGATTAACCTGAAGGAAATCTAAAAATAATCTTGAATGAAATTAAATACAACTCTTTTAAATAGTTGAACTCCCATTAAAAACCAAATAAATTCTTTAGATGAAACGTTAAAGTCGTGGCTTGTAATAATTTGGCCAGAATGGAACGCATTGCCAACTTAATCGCTTGAGAACTTGGCTTTCTGTGTCAGCCAGCAACTTCTCTCACGGACACAGACTTTAGAAATGTGTGTTGACCGCTTTTACTCAACCATAATTAACAGGTCACACGCACATAAACATCTCGAGAGCCAAGTGATTGTGATAAGTTGGTTGCAAGTCCGATTTAGCTGTTTGGCCACAAATTAAACGAGTGGAAAATAAATAAAAACAAAAGAAATAAGAAAAGTTTCAACGCAGTTGCACACGCTGTGCCACTTACCAATCGATTTCCTAGCGGAGAGATTTCGGTTTTAGGCGAATGATTCGTTTCCATTGTGATATATGCGCTTCAGGCTCAGGCCTTCAGGCGTCGGGTTTTGCCTTTAATTAATTCAAGCTCTTCCCCAGATTTCACTTGTCTTTGAGCCATGGATTGCTCTAGAATTTGTTGGTTAATTATAACTGCTTTCGGCGAGATGGTAAAAATCAGCACTCCCCAGGGCTTGTCGTTAATTTTATGCTTGTTCATCATCATGATCAGCATCTGGCCCATCACGAGTGTGTGGTCAAGTTGCGAGTTCCAAATAGAATCTCGATCTTGGCTTAGTTCGTGGCCAAATGAAATAGCACCACATACTTGGCCAGATCTGGACTATGAGATACTCTAGATACTCGCAGCTATTCTCACCCGGAACGTCCATCAAATGCAATGACATCATTGCCTTGGTATTGGCGGCACTCGAACTGAAGAGATTGATCCAAATAATTAAGTGATTTTTTATTTCGCTGAACGCTGATCGGCTTATGAAATAATAGAATATCCTATTGCTCAAATCGATGATATCATATGATGAAATATTTGTAGAGTGTTGACCTGAGGATTGTTTCAGAGAGTTTTTAAAGAAATATTTATAAACAAGAGGGTTTAAGCTTACTTGCTGATTTGCTAAATTATTGTACTATTTAAAAACAGTTATTGAAGGGAATTTCATCCAAAAATAACCACTTTAATGATCGCCTGGCATTTGAAATGCATTCCTTCCTGGAGCTAAATTTGTGATCATTTAATGACCGCATCAATTGACGGCTGTTACATTCACCCGATCAATATGGATATGCCCTTTTTCAGTCATACTTTTATGGCTGCAGGGTATTCGGTGGAGAAACCCGAGAAAAATACCATTGAAAGTTGTTTCATTGCGCTGACTTTGTATCTTATCGCGATTGAACTTTGTTGCCACCGCGGCTGACGATGCCGAAACCGAGAGCCTGGCCAAAAGATGAAAGCGTCGTGTCTTGGGTCGTCAGGGGTGCACTAGGGGAAGCCATCGATACCAATCGATGATCAGTGGAAAGAATACACCAGGTCCTAGTCAGTGATGGGAAAATGGTGGTCTTATTGCTAAATATATTTTAAATATATTATAAATCAAAACATTAACTATTTAAGTGTTAAATTTGATTGATTGCTCAGAATGCAAGATTAGAAATATAAGTTCTTAAAGCTTTGCTTCTCATTAATTCGAATTTAATTGTTTTGAAAAGTACTAATTAAATCCAATTAGGTACCCTGAGTGTCTATAATACCAACATAATGGCCATCACTGGCCCCTGGTCCGCATCAGTTTCAGTTTAAAGCGTTCAACTCGACTCGATTTGATGGCCAAGTCCGGGATTTATATCACCGATGTCCCGCTGTTCGTCTGAAGAGCGCTCTTTTTTTTGCCGACAAAGACAAAGTCAAAGGCAGCGAATGCCGCCACAAATCGCAGGGAAATCAATTTGGCAATAACCAATCGATCGGGAACAGAGGACAGTAGAGCAGAGCATTGTAGAGGATCACTGAGCAGATCGTAGACGCACCCAGGTATCGCTGCACCGTTAGGCAAACCGATGGATAGATCCATGACAACTTCTTCATTAGCATTATGGATTGCGGCTGGCATCACCAAAGAAACGCAAAACAGAAATTTACATTTTGCAAGAATTTTTTTGCTTGCAGCATGCAAGCGCAGTTGCAGTCGCGGCTTTTGAATTATTTGCAAACACCGAAAGAAAATTATTTTATCTAGATATACGTTGGAGATATTATGTAAAACTATTCAGAAAAGCAGTTCTGTTTAAGCAGGCGGCTCTATCCTAAAACTAACTCTTCTTAGTTAAAATATACCCTTATTTTAATTGGTAAAACAACATCAGTAATTTCTTTTTGTGCACTAGTTGCATCGCAGTTGGGGTCTCTGGCCATGTTGCCACAATGTTGCCACGGCTAACGGTACCAGGCCGCTGGCTATGCCGTTGCGGCTGCCTTTGTGGGTCACTGGGTTGCCACAAGTCTAACCAGAAAGAAGATAGAGGAGTTTTGCTGCCCGCAGAGAGGATGCAACAGCCACTTGAAAGATTTACCTGTGGCCAGCAGTTTTATTATTATTATTTTTACTTGTTTTTTTCCTGTAGTACTTAAGCGTAAATTACTTGCAACTAATTGAGGATGTCAACTGACGTGTCTTGCCTCAATTAAGTGTTTCCTCTCGCCACTAATGAACTCCACACTAGGCCCCAAATGACTTGGGGCATCAACTCTCTGTGGTCCACACACATGATTTACTCGTACCACTCTCGGTGCACTCAGGTCGGGCCTATAGAGATATAAAACCAACGAGATCGTGACAAAATAATGCATATAAAAATGTATATTATTATAGTTTAAAAAGCACAGATCGCGGAGAGGCAAAAAGGTCCAAACAAAATGGCCTAGGCCAGAGCGATTTAGCCAGGAGTAAAATTTAAAAGGCACTGTGGTGTGGGAGTAAAAGTGCTTTTCTAGTTTCATTTGCAAATAAATAAAATCCATAAAGGTTGCAATATTAACTTGCATTTTTATGGAGTTTTTTTAAATATTTTATTCATTTTAAATACCTTTTTCTAAGCTCTTCTTAACCAATGTGCCAAAGTCAGTGCCAGCTAAAAATAAAAAGAGTCAACGCTTTGGCATGTCTAGGAAGGCGATCTTTGCGAGCTGCCAGCAAAGCCAGAAAAGGCGACATGCATGCCACGAACTGAGGGTCGGACTGGCAGTCAGGCAGGCGGATAGACACCGACATGGGGCATTTGGCGGAGTCACACACAGTGCGGCAAAGACTTGTAGAGGTTGTACGAGGAGATAGACAGTCAATCTTTTGGCCAACAGAAAGACAGACAGACAGACAGCCACGACCAGGCGGCAGACGATTGCGACTGCGACTAAGGCCGTGATGATGATGGTGCAGCATCATTAAATTTGTTTCATGCGCGGCCTGGGCTCAGGCCACAAAATATTTTGGCATATTCGTAAACAGAAAAAAAAATTGTTTAACTTCCTCAAGATATATTCTCAAAATGAGCAAAGGATTCTAAGTTTTGAACACCGAAAACAAGATTACTCTTTTATAATTGCTGTAAGAATTTATTAAATTTATTAACACTTAAATCTAATTAATTTTCTTTAAGAATCTTTACTTTTCTATAATTTTCCCTCAGTGTTGTAAGCCAAAAGCAAAGTCTTCCTTAACATCATCACGACTTTGGCTGGCTTATAATATATGCGAATGCTGGGCTCTGTGGCAAGTCGTGTGGCAATCTCTGCATTTCATTGAACCTTCAACTTGACTTTGGTTCGGTTTCGGTTTCGTACTCAGCATTTTCAATTTGGTAGTTTTCTTTTTTCCCTCTATCTCTCTTAGCCGGGTGTATGTTTTGCCGGCAAGAGATCATGACACTGATCGCTGGCTGATTTTTGGCCAGGCCAAATAATTCATTTACAGTTGGCTTTCTTTCGCCAGCTGTTTGTTGCCTTGATTGGGACTCCCCCTCGGGCCACGGAGATTTTTGGCCACAGCTTAATTAGGCCCGAACAGACAACAAGACTCCGGGCCAAGATCAAGACCAGCGGCCTACACATGCTAACCTCGGCCAGAGCCAAATAAGAGAGTGAAAAACGAACAGAGTTTGGTGTTTGGTGTTTGGTGTGTTGGGGAAAAAAGAGGTCATCGATAGACAGGCAGGCACACATTACGGAAAAGTGGAAAAGCGGTCTCCACAGCGATCCCCCGAGAGCCTCCTTCCGATACGAACCCTGATCGTGAGAAACTCCGGCAGAACGTGCATGGCCCGCGGCATCGAAGCCCGGCTTATAATTTATGGCTGGTCTGCAATTCTGCACTCTTTCTTAGTCACAGTCCCAACAGTCTCAAGGATGAGTGTTACTTTAGGGAGCCGCTGAAATTATTATGCATTGTCCGTTTGCCCCCGCCGGGGGTCAAAATGGGAAGCTCGTGGAGACGGACGTTGGTCGAATGAAAAACTGAAATCAACTGGACAAGGCAAAAAAAAACTCAAAAAACCAGAACTGAAGTCGATAAATGAACTTGTTGATTGAGAACTTTGGAAGGGATAACCCTGAACTCAAAAACAGTGCAGCACAGGAATGTAAGACAATAAGCTAAAGAACCTTGAAAAATAAATATTGAATAGTTTATAGAGCAATATAAACTATTGCTATATTTTAAAATATTCCCAGAAAGTAGTATCTATATAAAAATAAAAGAAACTATAACTAAAACCCTTTCACATCATTAAACTACAACTGACATAAGAACGAATAATTAAATCAACCTATAACCCCAAAGAGTGACTTTTTCCCTACTATACTCTACATTTCCCAGCCAAATGAAACTGTCTCTCATATAATCCCTTGCTATGATATGTCTTTGTCTGAAAACAACCCAAAACATTCCCTTTAATGAAGCTAATTACAGAATTAGAGTCAGAGTTATATGCACTCAAAGTACCAGTCGCCGCTTTATGAGTGGTAAACCACAAGTGAGAACACCAAGAACCAAAAAAAAAAAAACCCTGAAATGACTCAACCCACAACTTGCATACAATGTGAATTTTCCTTTTGTTTTTATTTTGCCATTCAAATTTTCCGTATTCTGTATAAACAATGCTGCACTTTGACTCATAGTCAAATATGTGCGGCTGCATTTTGGTCATTGACACGAATACGCCACGAACTGGACACCGGGCGGGGGTTAAAGTTTTCATTTTGGAGGATATTATGCATTTTTAGTACTATAAATCATCAAATGAATCGATTGCCGCAATCGATCTTTGTGGCCAGTTGTGAGTGTGTTTTGTATTATTACTTTTGCTTATTTTTGTTTTATTCTTTTCTTCGATGGTGTGTCATGGCACGATCCAATGAACGGATCTGCTAATTGTTCAGGTAAATACAGAGAGAGAAACTGAACTGAAACTACTTAAAATAACTTTAATTAGTGATAATATAGAGGGGAAAAAAATAAATAAATAAATCCATAGAGATTACAGGATTTTATTGTTCTTTAACATTTAATGTTGGTATTTTCAAAGAAGGGAAAAGAATAAGTGAGACAAGTAAATTATGGAAAAAGCATAGACATTTTTTCCTTTATTTTATATATTTTATGTATTTAGTATTTCCTTTCTTAATATTTATAGAATTTTTCATATTTAAAAATGATTTTGTTTTCTCATTTATTTATCTTATTTACATACGTATACTCATTAATTTATTTAATTTGTTTATGATCATTCTTGCTATATTTGTTATAAAACCAATCTATTAATTCTCCTGTTATGCAATTTATAGTTGATTTTTCAAGTGCATAATACAAAAGGGTGCAGTTGCAGTTGAATTGCTCTCTTAAGTCTTTTGATTTGTGGCGGGCGTTTGGTCACGTGTGGCAAGTGAGCTGGAGAGCAAAGTAAGCGAGCTAAATGCACGCCCAGTTGTCGAGATAAGAGGCATCTAACAAAATTTTTGAAGCAGATCGGGAGGCAGGGAGCTGGCACAACGCTTGACGGTCAAGTGTTTTGTCTGGCAACTTTCATACGCCCCGTTGCCAACGGCCGAATGCCGTTTGTTTTTTGTTTTTGCGACATATTGAACACACCCACGTTTACACACACTAACTGAATTTTTAGACAATCATATAACGATTTCTTGTTTAAGACATTATTTATCTTATATTGATTTGAATGTTGCCATGGGCATGCAATCGATAAAACAGCAGTTATCGGGAGTTTATGGGATGTATTAATTAGATCAGAGGGAATTTGAGAGGAAATTAAAACCTGAAAAGGGGGGAATTATAAAATTAATTAATTATAGTATTATTATAGTATTATTTTAAGCTTAGAAGATATAACCTTAAACCGCCATCAGTCTTACTAAACCACTAAGTTTACTCTCTATTAAACCATTCGATATCATTCCCACCAAAGTAAAGGTGCTCGAAAGGTGTCCCTACTTTTAGTATCCACTCATATTCCTACCACCACTGAATCCCAATCTCTTTCCACTCTCTCCTCCAGATATCCGACTCCCAAAACATCTCACAGCCGAATGGCACACAGCACACACAGCGCAAACAGTTGGAGGTGCTGAAGGCTCGCACCGCCAACGGCGCCATGCAGGTGATCCGCACCCAGACAGTACAAAAGAGTTCATCCTCCTGGGCATCCTCCACCTCCACCACAACCACATCCACCACCCACCGCACAGGCAATGGCAAGAGTGTCCTCCACGATTCGCCTCTTAGGCCCAGTTCTCCCCTTCCTCCCAGATTTCCCAGGGTGTTGACATTTGCGAACTGAGCGATGATTGCAGTCTCAGTGGCAGCGATGTTGGCATCGTACGTACCGCCTCCGCATCTGCAACTGCATCTGCATCTGCATCCGCATCCGCATCTGCAGTGAGCCAGGAGCTCATCGACGATCATGTTGATTTTGTGGTGATTAATGGCGAGACGAGCGATCAAGACGACGACGAGCATTTGCACAAAGTCGGCCACAATTTGTTACTGATACGGCTCCAAGTCTGAAATTGAGTAATCTAATGGTAAGTCAGGGTTTTTGCTCAATCCACCTTTGCGGCTTTTTGCTACACAGGAAAAATGTTACTAAGATTAGGTTAAGGGTTTTTTTTATTTAAAGAGTAGATTTAAAACAAACAAATATTTTTCCCTGTGTGCTTTGCCTTGCTTAGTTAGCTCATTAGCATCGCCCATGTTTGCTTTTTCCAACTCGTTTTTTATTGGGTTTTCTTTCGAGGAGTAATCTCCTGACCATGGCCATGGCAATGACCGAAAATGGTCAGTTGTTAACAGTTGCCAATTGTTTTGGTGGGGAAAATGCTTGAGCTCTGCGCTGCTGGGAAAATCTGCAGATGTAATAAAACTGCGTCCAAACTAAACCTAAAATATAATCTATGCTTTAAGTTATCTAAAACATAACCATTTAATTTTATATTGAATTTTCAATACATTACATTAAATTTATGCCCTCATCATTTGTAATAATTTCAGGTGATTTTCTAGACATAACCATAAAAGACAGGTATAGATTAATGACCCGCGTCATTAGAGAACATCAGCTAGCTACCAAAAATAAATATGTTTTGCTAATTTTCTACAATTGGTCAAGATCCATAGATCAAATACTTAAAACCGACTAGACTGTCCAGAGACGACACCGTCTGTCTGGGTTCTCTTTGAGTCATATCTTTGTTCAATCGAAATCGAATGGAAATCGTTAATAAATTGTAGCTCTGCTCGATTAGGTGGTGCTTAGCACTTCAGCTGGACAACTGGGTCATGACCACAAAGGAAATTTCATTGGCAACTCTCTCGAAACGAGACACACTCATTAGGGAGGCCGGGCAGTAAAAAAGTCTCTAATTATTGGGCAGGCCAAAGAGTGTCTTAAGACAAGATCAACGCCCACACTCATCGTCTGACAGTTCTGGCCATCAATCTTGACACTAACATTTCTTTTTGGGGGGAATTTCACAAGCTGAAAGTTGTTAGAAACGTTTTTCTGTTGAGGCATTTGAATGTTGTAATTATTTCGTTGCAAAGTTGTTTTATTTCAGATAAATTCAAGTCTTGGAAATAGTTTTTTAATGAATCTTTGAGGGTTTAAGTTTACATCTTTCTTATATTATCAATTTGGGTTCACTTTATTTCTCTATTGTTATTAAATTATTCTGGCTTCAATGCGGAACTTTATTTATTAATAGTTAACCACGTCTCACCTTGCACTTAAGCTCTTGTGTGTCTGTCTTTAATGGTGGGGCTTAAGTGCTTAGCTTCCTTAAGCAGTTCCTGTCAAATAATGCACCCACTCCGATTCCTGGCCGGAATATATGTATATGTATATTTATTATGCCATAGAGTAGTAACAATTACCGGGGTGACATCAATAACGATAACCGAAACGAGCGACACCCGCACTCGAGAGGCGCTTCTTTGTGCGCTCGCTGGATTTTGAGTCGATTTTAATTTTTGTTTTCAATCTTGCGCCTTTTACAGAAAAGCAGCTCGAGCATTTCCAGCCAGAGCAGCAACAATTCAAACTTAACAACTGCAGCAGCGCAGGCGAGCGGCAACACCCACAGAAGTGCGGGTAAAATAAGCCTACATGCAATTGTCGGGCCAGAATCATCGCCGCCATCATCATCATCATCATTATTTCCATCATCATTATCATCATCATCCGCCTGGGCCAACAAGCCGTCCGACTTATATGGCCAACTCCCAGGTCGCGTGGGCGGATCTGGTACTGGTACTGGTGCTGACGTAGCTGCGACCACGCCAACGCAGCGTCGTGATTTGGAAAGTTTCCGGCATTATAACGATGACGATGGCGATGGCAACGACAACGACGACGACGAGCTGCGGTAAGTAACAAAAATTTCATGCCATTACCCGATCGGCCCTGATGCCAACCACATCTGCTCTACCTCCTCCACTCCTCTACTCATTTCTCCAGGCTCACCGCCCGTCATCAGCGTCGCCAGCAGGTGTCCCAGTCTGTGTACGCTCCGCCCCTGTCCGCACTTGGTCTCGGATCCACGCTGCTCCAGCGCTCTCGATCCATTTCCACGGATGATCTCAGCAACGACTGGGAGCGCGAGGAGCCCGGCGAGCAGCCGGTGGGCGAGTGGCGGCGTGTCAGCAAGCTGCGGCGCTCCTTTCAGTCCCAAGATCATTACAAGAGTCCGGGATCTCGACCTCGACCTCTAGATCTCCCAGGCAGCTCGGTGAGTGTGGCCCGTCTGCGAGCGGAGCTGGAGAACGGTCGTCGTCTCAACACGGCCATGCGGAATAATCACGTGGATCTGGCTGCCCTGGACAATATCCTTAACACACCCAAGCCTACGGTGGCCAAACGGAATACCTTTCTCACCGCCGAGTCTCTGCAGGAGATTCGTGGCAAACTGAAGAAGCTCTCCGACGAGAGTCTATACAAGGAGGACTTCCTGGCCTATCATCAAAAGAAACCTCTGGTGCGAGAAGTGTCCGTGGAGAAGGCAACTCCCCTGCCGCCAGCACCCTCAGCCTTCCGGGCTGTGCACAACACCCATAGCTTGGAATCCCGTCAGCGGCAAAAGGACACCAGTTCGAGTGAGTGGCATCTGCGTCGCAAGTCCTACGGCTTTGAGAAGATGTCGCCACCGGAAGATAAGAGTATCTTCCGGGTAGACGCCTCCACGGATAGTGGTTTGGTAGATCCGGCGAACAGCTGGGCAACTGGTCGCCCACGGAGCGAAATGCAGCCCAGCAGCAAAATGGTGGAACTGTCATCCACTTTGGACGAACTGCAAAGCCCATCCAGGCACCAAGTTCTCCGGACTCTCTCTCCGGGGAGCTGAGTAAACGCCACTCGATAGCCGTGGAGGAAACCTGGCGTGATGTCCGCAAGACCTCGCAGGTTCAAGTGAATGGCACCACCACCACCACCACAACCACGACGAACTCCAGCAGTCATCTCCAGCGGGGCAATGCCCAGAAGCGTGTGGAATTCTGCAAGACGGAGGTGCACTTTGCCGCCGAGTCCGGTCGTGTTAATATTGTGGAAACAGATGGTAAGCCACCGCCTACGCAAAACTTTCGACGACGCCGTCGCACAGCCAGCGGTCCGTTGCAGAGTCTGGTCAAGTCGGCCAGTGCCGGGAGCAGCAATAGCTCCTCTACCCAAAGCCAAGATGTGACCCACTTTGGTGATGATTCGCAACGCCGCAAGACAATAGCCACCAGCACGGTGGCCTATCGCGCCACTCTGATGGATCCACCCGAGGTGGTTACTCAGCCGGTGAGTAATGCAAGAAAAATTGATGATTATTATATATATATTCTTATTAATAATCATTCCCTGCAGACATCTACCAACGGTGTTGGCCCCAGCATAGCCACCCAGGTGACGGTAACCACTGTGCCCAAGCCAGTGCATGAGCCACGCTATAGCCTAATGGAGTCCACGTCCCGGAATAGTTATACCTCCACCAGTGGAGTGGACACCACGGACAATGAGACCGATGAGCTGTCCAATATTCGTGGTATTCTTAAGAACAAACCTGTAAAACCGAAGCCTTATCATTTAGGCGAAAATATTGAGAGTGCGGATGTCCTGTGGAGTGTGCCGGCCATGAAAGCAGATCGAGAGAGTCCTTCCTCATCCAGGGAGAATGGTAGGTTTCCAATAGAATTTATTCAATTAATTAATTAATATTTGTTATTTCTAATTTAAACAGGAACCACAAGTGATTCCCCCATTTCTAGTAAATCGGTGGCCGAACGCATTCGCATTGTGGAGCAACGACAGCAGCAGCAACAGATTTCGCCCGCTGGCAATGGATACTCCACCAAGATCAATGTGAGCCTGGGCTCCGAGGAGTGGCCAGAATCAGGTAGGTGCTCTCCTGCTAGAACAGACTTAAAATTAAATTAGTTGTTATAATTTATTAGTTAGTGGGAATGCCTGTAGTTTGTAGTATATATACTGAAATTGTTGTATGATCTAGTCTATCTCTGGCTTAGCCATGGACTCCTCTACTTGACTCGAACCCTCTGTACTCTGTACTCTGTACTTTGAATACTGAATATTCCTAATGCATGTTGTGAACTTTGATTGCCGCTTCTCTAAACCACATCTAATGCTACATCTAACACAACACCACTCGCTAAGCTCAACTCGATAACCCCACGCTCTAAAACCGAAAAGAAAAAAGAAAGAACCAAAAAATACCCACCAAACAACACTTTCCGCACATTTCCCAATAGATCACCCCCATCGACATCCCGCAACACATCATATCCTGCGTCGTCCCAGTGCCCAGGAGCTGTTGTTAGAGGATCTTCGCCAGCATCAGCGTATCCTGGACGAGGGATTGAAGTCCACTTCACTGATCATGAGGACCATGCGCTCAGCCAGCGAGTTCGATGAAGCAATGCGTCGTCTGAGTATAGCCTCCATTGAGTCGGCCTTGGCCCAACCCACAATTGTGGTGCCCACGCCCATGCTTCGCTCTCACAGTTACCAGGAGGAAGGATCCTACTCCACGCAGCGTCGACCCTCTACCATGTCTACCGTCTCCACCACTTCAATAACGAGCAGCGATCTCTTTGGAAGCGCTCTATATGATTCCCTGCCACGTAATCCTGTGGCTCCACCACGCTTAAAGCTTTTGGGGAACACCCAGATCCCAGTGAGCCAGCAGCTGACCCAACTGAGGAGATTATACGATGCTGCCGAGCAGGATCATGATCAGGATTTGGATCAAGAGGACAGTGCAGATGAGGAGGTGAAGCGATATTTCCGGGACAACAATAGCGACAGTGGTGGAGGCACTCAAGCCAGCTCCTCACCCGAACCACCACCGGTGGAACCCTTCCGAGGCAGTGAATACTCAAGCAGTTGGAGTCGGTTGAAGGCCAAGCGAACGATCTGGAAGATTGAGGCACAGGATCAGATGCTGCAGCGTGCAGGTAACGCTGGCATTTCTTATAAAGGGGGTTGAGTTAGAGGAGTTCATTTAAGGCTGGATTTTGTTCTTAGATTTATAGAGTTTTTTAAATTAGTCAGCCACTTGAAAAGAATATAAATAAATTTCTTAATTGCACTCTCCTTTGCAGATCTACCCAAATCGAATGTGATGAATATAGCACTCCATGCTCCCCGAGTGGAAAAACCCAAGGCCACACCTCCAACCCTGCGTATTGGTCAGCTCATACCAGTGGCCAAGCCAAGGACTCTATTCATTCAACCGCAAATACAACAGACAATGAGTCAACCAGTTGAAACTCCCGATGAATCCAGCAGCGAGTCCTTAAAGATTGTCAAGGAAGCACGTGGAGCTCGCAAGTTACGTGAACACGAACTCTCCTATTTTGGAGTCCAACAACAGCAGCAGCAGCAAACGAAACTCTCAACGATCTCCTCGAATCCCAGGAGGACTCTACCCAGCAGGAGCAAGGCCAACCATAATGAAGAGACCAAGGGTACAACCACAAAGACCACCACCAGGTGGCAGCTACTCAGCGATCGACCCGACCTATTGCGACACAGCAGTCCCCAGCAAAATGGACACGACGAGGAACTGGAAGAAGATGAAGAGCACTGCTATGAGAATATTGCCAACATCGATATGACCCCCACTTTCCGCGTAAAGTCACCTGTCCATTCGCCAGAACGAACCCGATCCCCCAATAGCTATGAGCGCAAGACCGACCTGCAAAGGGATGCCCAGATCCTAAGCGAAATGACTCGAAACGCTGATCAGACTTTGAAGGTAAGTTAGTTAGTTAATCCAATATCAAGTAACTTCATCATTAATATAACCTGCATCTTTCATAGGCTCTCTCCGAAGAAGCGGCCATCAAGGATCAGCGGCGCCGATCTTGCTCCCTGCAGCGTCGCAGTGCCAAGCCACTGGAAACCATTGACGAAAAGGTAAAGGTCTATCCACCTCCAACGTTAGGCGTGGCCCGTGGCACCTTTGCGTCGGAGGCACGTCGCAATTCCAGGCAATCCACACCTTCGCCAACCCGAGCCCGCAGCTCATCGGTATCCTCCGTTGAGTGTTGTCCCCGTGACCGATCCCGTTCCAGTTCCCGGGAATCAATGACCCATGGTGGCGGTTCTTCCGATGACCAAGTGGCCACCAAGCATCGTGCCGAACGTCTGCGACTGCGAACACCCAAGCGAGAGAAGTCCCGCCATGAGCCGCTCGAGGTGCGCTCCAAGCCGAGATCAAGCGTCACTCAGGCAACATCCTCTCTGGAATCGAAACGGAGTTCCCATAGTCACAGTCGTCATGGTCATAGCCGGGATGTGGAACACTCTGGCGAGAGTAAGACCACATCCGGTAGCCGCTTGATGAGATCTTCCCGGACGGCCGACGAGAGTCGCTCGCGGCAGAGCGGCCAGCGAGAGCGAGAGAAGGAACGAGAGCGTTCCCGAGGCAGTGAGAAGCACCGAGAAGAGCTCTCGCGTTCCAGGGGTGAGTACTTAAAGATCATAATTAAATTCTATTTAAATTAAAATGATATCAAATACATATCGAATGGATAATATGGCTTATCCTGGCCGTGTCTCTTGCAGAACTTCTGGTTTTAAGCTTGCTCATTATGGGTGCCACACAGCCGCAAAGGCTGAACAAACGTTTTAGGTTCGCCAGATGCTTAGATAACAAAATCAGTTAATAACTAAACTAAATCCTTATTAAAAGACACAATTTAAAGTTTTAAAGAGCAAAAAATATATAAATTAAATATCTAAAGAAACTAAAATACAAACAAGAAGTTTTAAACTCAAAGATAATATTAAATTTATTACATAAAGGAACTGACACACTTTGTTTTGTTTGAAACACTTTATAATTACAGCAATCAAGATTTAATCTTAGATTTTTAAAACACTTGATCACCTGCACAAAATAAGTTTAAAAAGGACACCCTTAAAAAGATTTTAACAGCTTGATTTAGAAATATTTTAATTTATAATACGATGTTATATATATAATATACTATTTTTACTTGTGAAAATTAATGAGAATGCTGAGCACCCAAAAAGTTATTATACACACCTACACACCACTATTAAAAGTCTTCTTAAAAATCAAAATAAAATATATTAATTTTGTCCCCTGACCCGTACAGGTCACTCCAGTCGCTCTAGGCACAGTGAGCACTCGTCGGCGGGAACCCGGGATAGCGGCAGCAGTCGACCAAGTAAGACGAGATCAAGTCGCACCAGTAGCCACGATAAAAAGTCCAGCACAACGACAACAACGACAGGCACATTAGCCACATCGAAATCATTGAAATCATCATCGAAAAGCACAGCGCATAAATCATCATCCTCCTCCGCAGCAGCATCAGCATCAGCAGCAGCCGCAACAGTAGCAGTAGCAGCAAGCACAACAGCACCAAGCACCACACAGCACAACGAACTGACGTACGTATACGTAACGAATACGAATTTAACCAAAACACAAGACAGCTTCAGTAGCAGCAAATTACCTGAAGGAGAATCGCCAAAGGAAGCAGATTATGCCAGCATTGAGGAGACGGAGATCCCTTCGGAGATCACTCCACAACCACCGCCGCGTAGCAAACGCAAACGATCCCTAATCCCTGTGCCCGTGGCAACCACACCCAGCTATGAGTATCGCACCAAGTTGGAAATGATTCCACCCAGCTACTCCAATCAGTCCACGCTCCGTTGCCGCAGCAACCGCCGGAAACCCTCCCTGAAGGCCACCCAGTCGACCAGCTCCAGTTTTGCCTTCCTGCCCTACCTGCCCGCCAAGCGGAACTCAAGTGTGAGCCATGTTTATGACAATTACCTGCTGTACGCCACCAGTGAGGAGGCCAAGAAGCTGCGTCCATATCAGAATAATCTCAGCAATGATCATGCCCAGCTCTTTGGCGGAGGAGGAGGAGGAGGAGCTGGAGCGGGAGCATGGACTGGGACAAGGAAACAGGCGGAGCGAGGACGTTTGGGTGGCTGGCCAAAGCGTCTGAGGATGCGACAAGTGCGCAGCAGTGTGTCCACGCATCAGCCCTTCGGCATCTGCACATGTTCATAGTCAGCCTTGGACACAGAGCCCAGAAAATACACACAGAGAAAATTAAACAGAGTACCTGTTCGCGGACCAAGCACCCACAACAAAAATATACAAATAAATAATAATCCACCAAGTGCACGAAATCGTTTGAATGCGAAAACCGAACATTTTTATCCTAACCAATATCCACACCCAATCACTGTGTTCCCTACTAATACTAGACCTCTTATATTATTTATTTCGGAGAGCGCACACAAACCAAAAAAAAAAAATATATATACTCGGCAAAGTTATACTCGCACAAAAAAAAAAGAAAAAGAAAAAGGGGCCCGTCTGGTTCTGTTTTACTTTTCACAGCGTAAGCGTTTATTTTCCAAATTTTTTAATTTCATTCCTAACTAAAGCCTTACTGCATGTTTGGACACTAAAGGGCAGGTCAAGAATAACTATTTTATTGTAATTTCCCAAATAGCACTAAAATATTTGATTTCTAAAACCAAAAAGTAGTATAATTCACTTAAAAATTTAGTAACAACTTTTATTTTCTATCGATTATTAACCATTATCTGACCTGTTTGCATGTTTGCCAACAATTAACTCAACTTATTCCGACTAAACTCTAATTCTAAACTCATGCACACCGCACTCTATCTGTAGAATCAACTCTAAAAACTGACTATGAACATGTTGCTGGAAACCAGAAAAAAAGTATATAGATGAAACAACTGAAGCAATACATGAAATTGGTAGTAATACAAGAACAAAAAAAAAGAAAAGAAAACCCAAATCGAAACGACATCAACATCAAGCCTCGCTCTATTCTATTTTTTCCTTAGCAAACTGGAACTGCGTAGTAGTGGAGTAGCATTGTTTGGAAATATATATATATAGACATATACTATCCTAAGAACTGTAGAAAAAACTATTAAACTATAATAACCATAGTAGTGGCAGTAAGTCCGAACTAATCAGGAAATCCTCTTCATCTTCAGACACGGTAAAAGCACACTGACTGGACATCATCTTAGCCAGCACCAGCAGAGCGGCAAGAAGCATCATGGATCTGTACACGGTCATCGGGAGCAGCAGCCACATCACGTCCACAGTCTGACCACCACCACAATAGCAGCTTCCACCAGGCACCAGCGAGATCTTCACGGCAAGGATAGGAAATAGTTGCGGGAACCAGGAGGACTCCCTTCCAGCGAACTACTAAAACAATAAACATATTAATTTAAACGATATATGCACATAGACACATATATATATCTATTCTTAATACCTACTAACCACACGAACGAGCTAGAGAGCGAGCGATGAGACTTTTGTTGGTAATTTTTGAGATTTTCTGGAATTGTGAAAAAAATTTCAAACAAATTACACCGAATGTTGACGAAACCCAACTAACAACACATTGACAACTAATAACTCGATTTGAAAATGTGACTATGAAAATGTTCCAGTTCCCAGTTCCTGTTCGCATTTCCACACATTTTTACACCAAACAAAACACACAAAACACACACACACCACACACTCGCTTTGGCATTGCACTCGAAATTCAAGTATTAAAATTATGCCAGCAAATTCCCCCAAAATTAAACTAAATACTAAATTTTATAAAATAACAAATGATACTCATATATATTCTTCGATAGCATTTAGTATACGACAAGAGAAAGTGAATGAAAATAAATTTAATACGTTTTTCAATGATATATTTGGTTTGCATTTTAATGTGTTTTCCTTTTACAGGTAAAATATCCCATCACTTCATTTTATTTATTTTGAAAAGATTAAAGTGATTTTTTCTATGTAAATAAAATAAAATATTACTCATACGCCCCGTATTACAACGCTTAATTTCAATGTCATCAGACACCTTAATTTCCTTTCTATTACTTGTATGTTATTTAAAACTCGGCTTTTGTTTACATAAAGAAAATAAAAAAAAAAGTTACTCATACGACCCGTAAACCAAAATGGTGAAAATTACTCATACGACCCGTATGAGCCAAATACAATTTTTAATATTGTCTAAAACCAATATTTATTGGAAGATTTAGCAATAAAATGTCCTCTATGTTAGTAAAATTATATTTACATTAAAATTTTTTATGTAAATAAAAGAAGATATTACTCATACGACCCGTAAGCCAAATACAATTCTTAATTTTGCCTAAACCAATATTTATTGCAAGATCTAGCAATAAAATGTGCTCTATGTAAGTAAAACTATATTTACATTTCAATTTTGTTATGTATTAAAAAAAGATATTACTCATACGCCCCGTATAAAAATTTTAGATTTTAATTTAGTCTTTAAATTTCGACTTTTCTTTACATAGATAAAACACTTATCCTTAAAGAAGAATAAAATATTAAAATTACCCATACGACCCTAGAAAAAAAAAAAAAAAACTTACTCATACTTTTATCTATAAACCAAAATGGTGAAAATTTTTTATACAACCCGAAAGCCAAATACAATTTTTAATATTGTCTAAAACCAATATTTATTGCAAGATTTAGCAATAAAATGTCCACTACGTAAGTAAAATTATATTTACATTAAAATTTGTTATGTAATTAAAAGAAGATATTACTCATAACAATGTTAGATTTCGATTTTGTCTTTAAATTTGAGTTTTCTTTACATAGAAAAAACACTTATCCTTAAAGAAGAATAAAATATTGAAATTACTCATACGACCAAAATGGTGAAAATGACGCATACGACCCGTAAACCAAATGCAAATTTAAATCTTTTCCAACCAATAATTATAGAAATATCTAGCAAAAGAATTTATTCTATGTTAATAAAAATATCTTTTAAATTTTTATTTTATATTATTAATTAATATTGATATATAAATTTTGTCCAAACAACGATAGCTTGAAATTTTTCCAAATCAAAACTAGAACTATAAAAGACAAATAAAATACGCCCATTCGAGCTGTAAAACAATTGTCAGTTCTCTTTTTCGCCGAATAGTGTTAACTGAGGGAAAAGCTTTTTCACAGCTTTTCAGTCAAGTATTTCTTCATATATGTTAACTTTTTTATCACTAAACTCACGCAGACAAACGCGATTATATGTAGGTAGTGACTGCTCGTATTTATAATCCTCCGCGAGCATGCCGGCGAACGTCAATTGAAGCGACTCTCAGTTGTTGTCCAACCGCCGTCACGTCAAACTAAAAATTTTCACTTTCTGTGCCGTGAGTAGAAAGCAGAAATAACTGATAAAAAATTAAATACAAAAAAAAAGAAATGAAAAGCCCAGTCAAGTGGCATTTCATTGAGTTCCCATGGCCCCCATCGATAAGGAAAACGTTCATAAATTCAGAAAAATTTGTTAACAACTCGAAAAATAAGTAGAAATTTCATATGAAATTGCACATAATTATGTACCCGCTAGATTTGATTGTTAACTTGAAGTGATAGAAGATCGGCCACCTGGTCTACCAATAGCACCTGTTATGACACATGGTGATGAGTCATCGCTCTGATAAGCCGAGGAACCCTTAGCATTTGGCTTCCTATCAATGCAATGAATTGTAATCGCGTACAAAGGCAAATGCGTCTTGTATCAATTTTAAATTTGATAGCACCTGTCTTGAAGTCTGGATAGACATAATTCTATATGAATCAAATTTTGTGGTGTAAAGTTCAAGTCTGCAATGATCAAATCATGCAAATGAAGAAACTTGTTATTAGTATTATATTAAATTCCATTAATATGTAATAAGAATAATACTTGGAGTCCAGTTTTTGTGGTCGGAAAATTCACTTAAAGTAAATCAGAAGTAATATAATTTGTTTTAAGTTGGTAAATTATATTTCATTTAAATATGTAACCCAAAAAATTAGAATTTTCTCGTTATTATGATTATATACATTAAAACATTTATATTGAGTCCAAACATTTAAATTTTTATTATATTTATATTTATTATTTAGCACCATAAAAATAAAACTGCAAATACATTTTTTGTGTGATCTTATCTAATCGGTTCCAAAATATTCGTTTATCTTGTCTGAAACGGAGGTCTCAGCAACACTACCACAGGTAGTTGACCACATTTGGCTTGAACAAAAGCCGTGTGTGCCATATCATTTACTGATAACACAATATACATACATATATTTTTTTGTTGATTAGAAATGAAGAAAGAGTTTAGACTGGCTGGCCTGCAGTCCACTTTAATATATTTTAGACATCGATTCGAGCCGGTTGAGTTTTAAATTTCTGTCCCGCCTAATAAGTTAGTCAGCTCTTCAACTTATTTGCAGTATTGATTATCTTTAACTCTATTGATTTTACAGACATTAAAAAATAAAAAGATACGATGTCGCTTCTAACTGGCAGCGCCAATGCGGTGAAATATACGCTCTTTGGATTTAATTTGATCTTTTGGTAAGTAATTAAAATGGTCATTACTCAAATGAGTCATCAAATAGCCATGGCGAAAATGTTTTCCAATAGAGCTTAGCAAAAGATTAGATAAACTAAGCGTTTTTTTTACTATATTGAAGGGGGAAGTACCTAGTAAATCGCTCTAATGAAATATGTATATCTAATATACTTAGTTTGTTACTATTTTTGTTGGTCTTCTTTAATTTAACATTTTGGTAAAGCAAATAATTTTTTTTCAAATAAACATTATTGATATAAATATACGTAGAAAGAAGTTTAAGTTTATTATCTTATCTGAATTCCAAACCAAATATATGTACTAAGCTTAATATATCATTTTGAAGGCGATTCCCTGGAAATATGTACAAAAATAAATGCAATTCATCATTAGGAAAAGAACAACAAATTCAGAAAAATAATTCTCTTGATATCCTAAGAAAATCCTTATAATATTTACAATTCCGATTCCAGATCACTGGCATTATTCTGATCGCCGTTGGAGCTGGCGTTGGAGCCGTCTATACCGGCTATGAGCTCTTTTGGCCGGCAAGTTCTTCTCAATTCCCACCTTCCTGATCGTGATCGGGTCTTTCATCATTGTGATCTCGTTCTTTGGCTGCTGGGGCGCATTGAAGGAGAACTACTGCCTGGTGCTTAGCTTCTCGATCATGCTGGCCATCATCTTCATCCTGGAGCTTGCGGCCGGCATTAGTGGCTATGTACTTCGCACCGATGCCTCCGATCTGATCAAAAAGTCACTAACCGCCTCGATGGGTGAATACAAGAGTCTAGAACAGAATCCAACCACAAAGCTCTGGGACGATGTGCAGCGTGACTTTGAC